CCCTCTCCCCGCCTCCCCCAATCTCCTCCCTCCCACTGTTTCTGAAAAGCAATTGAAAAAACATCCTCAGGTGAAGATTAAAAAAAAAAAAAATTGATGAATTCCTCCATCACCTGGAGTGGGGAAACTGTAGCTCAGATTTCAAAATATATTGATGAATTTGGGGACTTAAAAACAAAACAAAACTGAAAAGACATAATAAGCCAAGGGAAATTATTTTTAACATATATATGACAAAGATTTTGTTTTTTTAATCCCTTGTACATAAAGATTGTCTAAAATAGAAAAATATCAGTAACCCTATAGGAAAAGATAAGCACAGTTCACATAACAAATGCAAATGGCCCTTTAAAATGAGGAAATTGACCAAGCTCCTGTAATAAGGCAAAATAAAATCACACTGTGAAACCATTTCCCATCTTTCTGAATGGCAAAAATGCAAAAGTCTGTCAGGGCTGTGATGGATAAAAAGACACTTCCTATATTACTGGTAGGGGTTCAACCAAGTGCAACCCCTGTGTGTATGGGGAGGAGGGGGCGATCTGGCAACGTCACTTACGTTTTTAACCAGTGCTTCAGCGGTCCCTCCGACCTGGGACTCTACCCCAAAGACACAGGAGCAGAAATACAGAGTTACGTACCGTCTGAGCTGCTTCTGTGTGGCACTGTCCAGTAGCAGTGCAAACCAAATAGAAAATTGATTGAATAGAATTGTTAATCAGCTATTTTAAAAAGAAAGCCAGGGGAAACCTCTCTACTGCTTTGGCGTGATCTCACAGAAACATCGACTTGTTGGGTTTTTTATGCATTTATTGGTTGATTCTTGTATGTGCCCTGACCCAGGGATCTCTCATTAGATAGAAAAAGGCCAAGCGAAGTATTCATACGATACTACCATGTATCTAAGAAGTCGGTGTGTGTTTGCTTAGGTTTTTAAGTGTGGAATAAACAAAATGATAACAGTTACCTCTCGGAGGTGGGAGAAGGGTGGGTGGGAAGTAAAGCGAGTCTCTAGAATTCGAAAGCACAATGTGACAAGGGAAACCGTATATGGAGTTGGCCAAATCACGCAGAGAGGAATTGTTTCAGGTGACTTTTAACCATGGTGGTTTGACTGTTTACACCTAATGAAATATCTTATGGACAAAAAAAAAAAAAGACGCCCAAAATCGGGACCTTTATGAATACCCAGTAGGTTGAATTTGAACTAAGGCGCCTGAGAGAGGTTGCTCTGTAATTTTTCTAGTATCCATGGTCCTTACTGGTGTCTTGCTGGACTCAGAAGAGTTGGTCAATCTAAAGGGAAATGGGAGAGGTTAAGTCTCAGTCAAGGGCACGTAGCTGGGTTGCAGGTTCACACACACACACCCCCGCCGTGGTCGAACAAAATAAAAATAAAAAAGGGAAATGGGTAGGATTTCTATACTGTTATATCTTAAACAGTTAACTTTCTGCCTCAGTGAATACTTAACTTTGGAACATTTTACTGGTTTCTTAGCACACACTTTGTGCCAGACCCTGTGCTAGGCACTGAGGATACGTATGTGATTAAGGTACTCTCCCCACTCCCGCGGCACTTCAGCCTGCGAGAGTATACGAATTTGTAAATAAAAATTACAGTCGGGTGAGAAATGTCAGTAGACAAAGTGGAAAAGTCCTGAGGTAAGACAGTTCTTAATGTTCGTAATGGACTCTGGGAAAGGCTAAGGAGGTTGCTGGAGTAAACCAGAGAGCCTCCAGGAAGACGTAGCAGAGGGCTCGTGAAAACTCACCACCATGGGTTCGCTCTGTGGCGGGAAGGCCAGGACGTCACAAGAGCCGTCAGTGTGTGTGATTTTAGATTTCAGTAGCAAAGTTCACAAGGGGGGTTGTTGGTGACTCCTTTCTTCCAATGTCCTTGTTAAGATACCAGGATTATGCTGGCCTCCTAAAAGCATTGTGAGGTATTCCTTCTTTGCTGTTCTCTGGAAAAGGTTGTGTAAGATCGGTATTATTTCTTCCTTGAGCATTTATGAAGTTGTTTTGGGCCTGGGTTTTCTTTGGTGAGTATGTATGAAACAGGAGAAATCGTGACCCAAAATTCAACCTTAAAAAATTGTCTGAAAAGGTGATACATCGTTCTTAACATTTTCACGTAATAAAGCTTCCGTGTGCTCACCGAGGTTTCCACAACCCACAGTTTGATCAGCATGTCAGTGACTGAAATTTGCTAGTATAAGAATCCAGTCCATTTCTAATTGTCAAGTGGTATAATGCAGGTTCAACTAAAATAATAGTGGCTAGCTACCTGGGCTGTATGGGGGTGCCATGGTGTTGAACGAGACCGAGCTCTTCCATCCAGGCGTTTGTAGGCGTATTTTATAAATAGCATGAATCAGATCATTTTAATCCACTTGCTTTATTACAGGTGTATATATATTTTAGGATATATGAAGGATTGATTTTTTTTTTTTTTTTAAATCCTTACCCAAGGATACGTTTATTGGTTTTAGAGAAGAAAGGAGAGAGACAGGAAACATCGATCAGTTGCTTCCCATGCGCACCCCGATCGGGGGTGGAACCTGAAACCTTTTTGGTGTATGGGACGATGCTCCGGCCAACTGAGCCACCCGCTGGGGCAACGATAATTCTGATGGGCTTTACTGCTCAGAATATTTTGTCTCACTTGCTTTAGGAGATGTTTGTTGTTGTTTATTAAATTGATTTGAAAGAAAGAGAGAGAAGCATCGATTTGTTGTTAAACTCTTTATGCATTCACTGGTGGTTTCTTGTATGTGCCCTGACCGGGGATCAAACCCACAGCCTTGGCATATGAGCTACCCGGCCAGGGCAGGAGATATATTCTTAAATTAAATACATATTTCTATTTTGTAATAAGCAATGCATTTACACCATTCAGACTTCAAAAAGTTACAAAAAATGTCTCTCTTTAACTCAGTTCTTCAGTCACCCAGTTTCCCTCCTCCAGAGCCAACATATATTAGTTGCTTCTTAGCTGTTCTTCAACTCATATTCTCCAGATATGCATATAATGTACATTTCCCATCTTTTTTTATACTCTCTGCTCTGCACTGTGCCTTTAACTTAATGTGTCCTAGACTGTGCCTTGTCATTCAGTGCATGCTGGAGCTACCTCTTGTTTTTCTCTGTGGCTGCCTTGCAGTTTGTAATAACATGACAGTAACAGTAGCAATAAATTAGTGTAACCATTGTACTACTGATGGATTTTTAGGTTATTTCCAGTTTTACTACAGAAAAGACTACATTGAATATCCCCAATTGCTTTGAATAACTACGTATCTCTTTCCTTTGCTAGTTTTTTTAGGACAGATCTTTTGTTTCATTTCAGCCATGAACCAGAGAATCAGTCAAAGTGCTCCAGTGAAACAGCCACCACCCCTGGCTCCCCAGAGTCCCCAAGGAGGAGTCATGGGTGGTGGCAACTCCAACCAGCAGCAACAGATGCGGCTGCAGCAACTGCAGATGGAGAAAGAGAGACTGCGACTGAAGCAGCAAGAACTGCTTCGGCAGGTGAGGCCACAGGTTAGAAACCAGCCTTCCACTTTTTGGGGTCTGTTTTCCTCCATAAAGTTGGGTGTAATTCCTTTTTAGCATTTATTAGTTAGAGGAATGCTGTTTTCGCTAAAAGTAGAGTGACACAGAAACACCCTGTCCAGCTCTGCCCTTGTCTTAGATTAGTTTCTTGACTGGCCTTTGATCACCTGGGCCATACCGTGTACATCTGTATCGCAAAGAGGTGCTCGGGCCGTGGTCATTGCAGCTGAGCAAAAATGGAAGGAAGCAACGGTGCTTCCTCCGATGTACTTGGAATTGTAGGTTTCACCAAGAGGGAAACTCTGGGACATCACTCGAGTAAAAACATCTTTTGAATTATTTATCTGGGGAAATACACCAATATGATATTTCTCATATGACAAGTATCTTTCAGTATTGCTGAATCTAAGATGTTTTATTTAAAACATAACACAAATTATTCTAAGTTTGGAAGGTTCCCAAAGTGCTTTAAAATTACCTGTTTACATATATATTTTTAAAATATATCTTTATTGATTTCAGAGAAAGGAAAGGAGAGGGGGAGAGAGAGAGATAGAAACATCAGTGATGAGAGAGTCATTGATCAGCTGCCTCCTGCGGGCCCCCAACTGGGGATCGAGCCAGGCATGTGCCCTGACCGGGAATCGAACCCCAATCGCCTGGATCCTAGGTCGATGCTCAACCGCTGAGCCACGCCCGATATTTTTTTTAAGTTGGGAGGGATAGGACCTTAGAGACCTTGAAACCCTTTATGACCTTCCCTTCAGTTGTTTTTCAGGAAGTACTGTTGGTCTTTATGTTCTGAAAGAATGGATAATCCTTCATCTAAAAATCAGTTTTACTTTATCTTGATTGAGAGTGGTAAAGTCTGGGGGTGTGATCTTATCAAAGCAGCTTATTTTAAAAATTTTATATAAATTTTGGGGTCATAAAAATATGGTGCGATTTTGAAATGTACAAAAGGTAAAAGCTGTCAGTGTCTTGTTTTTGTTTTTTATTTTTTCAGACACCATCTGTTTCCACATTCACACACCCCCCCAAACCTAAATCATAGCATACTAAGTGTAGACGTTAAAAAGTTGTAATACTCTACATGTCTGTTACCAGGAAGTAGGCATTTAAACAAGGTTCTTTTTTGTAGTGTCACTGGAGTGTTAATAGAAATGCGTGAATTTGATACAGTTGTTGAACTCTGATTTGGGATTTGAGGAACTGGTGCCTAAGGAATTAAAATAAACCATGAAATCCCATACAGACTCACCTTTAAACTGTTTGTGCTGTCAGTAATCTCTCAGGGTAATAACAGTGTGGTTAGCATCAGAGGAGGGGTCCCCGAGAGAAGTGAGAGAGCCGGTGCCAGCAGATGATGTTGGGAAGTGGTCTTGAAAGAAATCTCTCTTCATCTGCCATTAAGAAGGCAGGGACAAGAGGCATATTAACCAGTTTACCGTGTGTCTAACTGACTTTCTGACAAATTACTATAAAGGAAAGACTTCTCCTTTAAATAAAACTTGATCATCAGAACAAGGGAGCATCATCAAGAATATAATTATGTAGCTATTAGAAGAAATAAAGCAACTTAAGAGTAGTGTTTTTACAGCCTGCTTTCATTGCTTGCTTTTTATTTTGTTACTAAGTACTAGATGGTCCGAGTAAATAAAAGTCTTGTTTCACATGTGAATTGAAGACTATGAAAACCAAGGAGTCTTATTAAGAAAAATAATTTAATTACTAATGTCAAAGTCTTACTGTTTATTTTTATGTGTAAAGTCCAGAAATGGGCTGTTCGTCGCTTTGTTGTATGCTATAGTTCAGCCCGGTGTGTTTCTTGGTGTTTTTTGGTGTATTGGTGGGCAGAATGCTGCTCCTCATAAAGCTCTTTCCTTCCAAAGAATTTTCCTAAGTCTTGTTTTCACTTTTACTCTGGGTGATGGGTCCTGGACAGAATAGCTTCACTTCCTTTGAAGGTAACTTCTTGCTCTGTTTCTTCTTTACTAGCAACTGTGTTGCCTTTTCTTACGTTGAAATGACAGACCTGCTCTCTCCTTATACTAATAGTCTGTGTTTTTAGGATTTTTTGTTTTATTTTTATTTTTTAGCAGTCGGCATAAATTCAGTACATGTCAAGTCTTTGGGCTTCCTGTGAACTTCCTCTGTTGACAGTTTCTCATCACTAAAACAGCAAATTATATTTTTCCTGCTTCGTCTAATACTCAGAAGCAAAGAACCTACCTGACCGATACCAAGTTTCATTTGGATTCTGACACCTAAAAATCTCGCTGTCCTGTCCTCGATGCTGTTCAGTGCTTGAGAGGTTTCAGTTTATTTTGCGGTGACTCCGCTGGCTCCTGTCCTCCTCAGTCTGCTGCTTCGGGCTGGCTTGGGAATTCTGTGCTATGGTGATATGTCTGGATGCAATTTGTAAGTCAGCCTACATAGCCAAACTGTGTGGCTCGAAGTAATGTTTATCCATCTTATTTTTTACTCTTAGGCAATGCGGAATATCAATCCCAGCACAGCAAATTCTCCAAAATGTCAGGTAGGCTCTTATCTGATGTTTTAGCATAAACATGGAAAAGATATTAGGAGAGAGGGAAGCTTGTGCTCCAGGGGCCTGTCCTCACTGAAGATTAGCCCAGAGTCTAACTTTGAGCCACCTTTCTACCAAGACACTTAAGTTAACACTGCTGTTCCCAGGAAGTCGACGTGATCTGCTCCCTTCCTGCTCCTCCCATATCACTGCTAGTATTCATTTTGATTCCACGAAGGTCTTCTTTTAATTCCACATTTAAAATGTATATGTCTCCATTGTACATTCTGTCAGCCATGAAGTCTGTCTAATATCATGTAGCTTAAAATAATACTAAGTTAACAATTTGAACAGTAACAACCCAAATATTTACTTGGGGAGGCTACTGTAGGAAATTTTATTAAGAGTCCTAATGATACTGTTAGAAAAGGAGAAGTTTCTTCTAATGGACATTCCAAAGGAGGGATATCAAAATCACTGTAAGAGAAGCACCCACCTGGGTAGTGTTTGGGTTCCTTTGTCGGCATCTGTTAGCACATTTCTCCCTGATGAACCCCCAGGAGCACTGGTTGTGAAGGTATCTTATTTAGAGGGAACGTTTGTGGCCATTTTTTCTTTCTAACGCAGGTACTTAACCTGACTCATGAGAAGAAACTCGTTCTTGAAACCAAAGAGATTCTCTGTGTTGAGGGTGCATAGGACTTGAAGGAGTTAGGAGGTAGGGGGGTCATTGCACTTTCCTCAGGTGTGCAGAAGCAACTGTGAAACACCTCATATTGTATATGCGTAGTTCTTTTGCACTAGGCTAAGTGCATTGCGTTAGAATCAGCTGCAGAAGTGGGAGTTGGCAGAACGTCACTCACCTGGATACTGTAAACTCGTCCATGGGAGCACTGTGCTGTAAAGCTGCTGTCTCCTCATAGAGACCAGTTAACTTTGTGAGAGGAAGAACTCTGCTCTTTATCTCATCAGTGTCTCCTTTAATCAAGAGGTCAAGTAAGGGAGTAACTCACAGAATTCGTCTTTGCTAACGCAGAGAGCACAGGCATTCTTGCAATGAGGCCACTGACACCACGTTTGTCTGGGAAGAGCATCATACACCGTAGCATTGGGTCTTTATACAGTGAAGACATTTTTTCATTTTTCTCTGAAGTATTTCTGAAAAAGGGCTTTTATTTGTGCTAAATGAAGTGGAGGCTAACGTAGGATCAGAAATTAATTCATTTTGGGTTCAAGCAAAGAGTCCTTCATGCCTAAAGTGTTTTGAAATTTTTTTTTTCCATCTGAGATTTTAAACCTTAAATCTGATGGAGAAATTAAGTTGTTCCTGGATTTTTATATCCTACTCAAGTATAAATATAAATCATTGCCCTATTAAAATTCTCATCAGGAGTTCTTAGTTACTTTTTAACTACTAAAACTTTAGAAAAGTTGAGCCTCATCAGTAATAAAAATTCTATTCGATCAATTTATATGGTATTAAAAATGCAGAGTTGATGTCTTAGATTTGTCTAAGTCAGAGCAAGCGTCTTAAAGATACAGTTTTTTAAAAAGTGAACTTTGCTTTTGCTGGAAAATAAAAATAAAATACTGGTTTGTTATATAAGTTTTAGTTGTCAGTGTATTTACCTGGCACACTTGTGAAAACGTCAGTGTAGGGTTAAATTTGAAGGCGCTCACGTACGTGGAATGGGCAGTGTCTGTAGCACGCACGCGTTCGTGTGTTTCTCATCCTGCCGTGTTTTCCAGATGACCTTAAGGTAGATGTCAGGAAAGATGTCACAAAGAAGAGTCATATTTTCAGTGAAGATGGCTTTAGATAGGATTACCAGGGTAATCCGGAAAGTCAGGAAGAGCTTTAGGCACTGTGGTTCCAAGTTTATTTTTCACTTTTCTAATAGAATTCATGCAGGCGAGTGAACTAGCAGTGTGAAACCAGTCTCATTCTGTTACAATCCTAACCTCATATGCTTCGGGATGTGGGAAGGGACCGAAATTGCAGAATGCTTGCAGATCACTCATTTCAAAGGCCGTCTTGAAGCACTTTCTAATAGGATTAACAAAACGTGTCTATATTGTAGGATTCTCTGGTTGTGTAAACTGATGTCAGTACGGGGAAGGTAAATGCAGAATCCTGGAAAATTAAGACAACGTTAAAGGCAGTAGTGTATCTTCTAAGTTAAAGGCGGACTTTATCACCCTAATTTGTCAGAGTTTGTTTGGAGAATTTTTGAGAAACTTGACCTCACTGAGCTTTAAATTTTCAATTTCATTTTCATTGGTCACTATTATGTGTTTCAAAAGCAATTTCTGTTCTCGTGGGGAAAAACTTTAAAGCTGCAAACATCGTCTTTGCTCTGTGAGACTGAGCATATAATGCTTACTTTTCTAGATACATCTTTTTCTCGTACATCAATTGCTCCTTTGTAAGGGAATCATCCCAGCTTCTGTTTCAAGGTCTTTTGAAACAGACACTGTAAGGAAAGATAGTCCGCCCTGAGTATGAATCTTTTTACCTTCTCTGGTGCTTAAGAATGTGGTTCGTAATACCTGTGGTTCCCTAGTACCTGTGAGCTAGTGTAAACTCTGCAACCTGGCTCGCGGTCTGTGGTCAGCAGCCTGGGTAAGCCGATTCCTCTTCTGCTAAATGCACTCTTCTGCATCCCGAGCTTCTGCTCCTCAGCTGTTCTTTTTCTCACCAATTAAGGTTCTCCGTTTCCCTTATAAAGCCAAGCGGCCTCATCAGAATTCTTGAAACTGCCCAGAAAATAGATATAAGACTGTTGTAATTAGATACCTTTTTTTATGAGCAAATAATTGCTTCATTCTTCATAGCTACAAATATTTTGCAACTAATGAAATTATAGCTACAAATATTTTGCAACTAATGAATATTGTATAGTTGCCATTTTTATGAATAGTAATAAATATACATCAGGGTCAGTCATGTTCAATGAGTGATAAACCCACATATTACTGTTGAAGGTCCTGTACTACACCATTAGGCCACAGTGGTAAAGAGGTTCACATGTCCATAGTCGTCAAATGGAGCAAATTAATACCACTGTTCAGCCCTGTGAAAAAAATAACCATCAATCGTTCCCCCCCGTTGAATTTAATAATAGCAAAGAATTTAACTGTTTGTCCCCCTCCAAACTGTCTTTCTTGTTAGCAAATGATGGAAAAGCTGTTTCAGAATCCAATTAACACTTTTCCCAAGGTTATCTCTCTTCTCTTTGAAGTCTTAATATTGAATATAAACCATAGATTCATTTAGGTGTTTTCCTGTGAATATTTGGACACTTTGAAATCTTTGTATAAAAGGGGTGGGGGAGATTTAGCCTCACACCCTACATACTCTGATAGGTTACCTTCCTCCC